CTGAGTTTATGTATAAAAATTGCATTAAACATACCCTAACTCCTCCTTATCACCCACAATCAAATGGTGCTGCTGAGAGATCAGTCAGGGTGGTAAAGGAGGCGCTTGTCAAACAAGTTCTAGAGGGAAACAAGGGAAGGTCTATCAAACATAGACTAGCAGACTTCCTCTTGAGATACCGTACCACCCCACAGCACCACCACAGGTGCTACGCCAGCAGAACTGTTGATGAGACGTAGACTGCGTACTCGTTTAACTCTAGTGAAACCTGATCTAGCCAAAACCGTAGAGAGTAAACAAAATAAGCAGAAGGAATATAAGGATTTAAAGGGTCATCAAGATAGGCTGTTTGCAGAGAATGACATAGTTCGAGTGAGAAATACTCAAGCCCGTAGCAATACTGAGAGGTGGATTCTGGGAAGGGTAGTTAAGGTCTGTGGACCCAGAACATATTTAGTTAAGACTGGCTATAAGACCAGATATGTTCATGTTGATCATTTAATTAAAGCACATGATCAGGTGCCACATGAAACTAGAGAGTTGGACATACCTGTCCCAGAACTGTGTGAGCAACCCACTCTAAGTGTAGATAATAGCCAAGTTTCATCCGGGGTGCCGCAGCCACCAGTCAATTTTTCAGATAAAGATGATGAGCCTAATTCTAGTATTAGTGAAGAGAATGTAAACACACCATCGCCGGTTGTTCTGAGGCGATCAGAGAGAATTAGGAAACCTGTTGACCGACTGAACCTGTAGTGAATGTTATAGCTACTATTGTGTTACTTGTAAGGATATCTTATTTGTAAGGGGAAAGCAGTGTAATATATTAAGTACCCTCTGGGGTTACTGTGTATGTACCCAGAATACATTGCTGGAATAAAGTTGTGTTGAAGCGGCCATGTTGTTTGACCTCGTGGGTTTATATCACTAGCAATATATTACATAACTCTTATTGGTGTTCGTCTATTTTGAACACTAAACAGGTCCCCTATATGTGATCAAGCCCAGCGAAGCAGATTATCTGACACTGCTGACCGCAATCGCTAATGCTGTTTCATTAAAACTACCAGATCTCAGGCCGTCTGACCCCACGCTTTGGTTTGCAGCCAAGCCGAAACGTTGTTCGCAGCACAAAATATCACCCAATAGAAAATTAAATTTGGTCATGCTTTGCACGTTCTTCCAACCCAATATGCCTCAGAGGTACGTGAAATAATTCTACAACCACCGAAATACAAAAACGTGTCTGCCCTTCAAAACGACAATGATTACAGCCGCTGCTACACATTGACGTCCTTGGCGATTGGAAGCCATCACGACTTTTATGGCATACGTTGAAACTTTGCAGAGGTACAGTTGCCGATGCGGCCACTAATAAGATTTTTCCTGAGCTTTACCTGCAGAAGCTTCCCCTCACCATTCGCATGACTTTTGCGGTGCACAAATACACCAGTCTCAGTGAGCTCGCCGACATGGCAAACAACATGGCCATTTGGAAAACATTGCAGTCTCCTCCACTAGTGGGTGAACAACAAAGATCTCACCCTCAACCTGACATTTGTTGGCAAAAGCTTTAAGCCATTAGTACAGACGAAAAAAATTCTGAAGCGGGACAAACTCGATGCGACTGTTACTGAGGAACCTATTTCTTCAGTTGCCAATGATAGCGAATTAAACACCACTGAGAAGGAGTTAGGATATTTTAAGGAAGGCGTGTTATCTAACTTTACATCTTGAGTTTTGTCGCGACGTTGTTTCCGTTTTGAATAAATCTGGTCGGGATCAGGGTCTACCAGTTGATTTTCACGTCCAGAATCGATGTATTCTTCGACCCATTATAAAACATGAGGTATTTGAGAGAAAACACAACAAGAGCGCGAGTAATAACGACGACCGAGTGTTGTAGTTGGCCTTACCTCTTAACTAACGCAGCTTTTGTTTTAAGTCCTTTCAGTGAATCACCTCTACATTTTAGCCAGAACTTTAATTCTTCATTCTTCAAAGTTGCGGGAGATCTTCCACATAGGGAAGACCCCGGGTTATCATCTTCTGTAAGTTGACAAGCAGCTATATGTGCGAAGTCAAAATGAAAGGAAAAGTTCCCTTACTGACCTCGACTTCATGATCTGGCCTGTGATATAAAATGTAACAAGTTTACTTTCCCCTCCTTAGTAAGACACAATGTATGTCACGTGACTAAGCACATGGAACAAGGACTTGCAGTTGTCAGCCATCTTTTAATGACTGTTCATACAAGGTGTCAGGAAGAGTTTATTTTCCACGCCAAAAAACAAGCTATCAAGCTAACAGCTGACTGGAAATAGATTACAGAATTCCCGGATATTGTGAAAACAGCCACAATGGCGAAGTTCAAACCTCCGGAGATATCGTGGACCGCTCAAGATTTGCATAAAGAATGGCGCCGTTTCAGCCGACAAGCACAATTCATTTTTGACGGTCCGTTGCACGAGAAAGAAGAGAACGTGAAATTGAGCTACCTGAAGCTGTGGGTAGGCTATAAAGGGTTGGATGTATTCGAAGGATTCACATTCGCAAACCCGAAGATGCCGCGAAATTGAAGGTCGCACTGAAGAAATTCGAAGAATATTATGCGCCACGGAAATACCACATAATGGCTGCTTTGAAATTTAACGAAAGACGTCAGGGAGGCAATGAGAGCTTCGATTGGTTTGTTACAGATCTGAAAATTCTAGTTAAGGATTGTGGCTATCAAGAGGAAGAACGTATGGTTCGAGACGCGATCGTTTTTCATTGTAAACATTCCAAGCAGACGTGCTGATATGTAAAAATGCCATCGAAAACGGTCGAAATTACGAAACAAACCTCAGCAGTCTAAAAAAGCTCGCCAGCGACGAAGACCCAACCGTGAATACCCTAAATCAGGACAAACGTCCGCCCTGGAATCGTCGGAAGCGTTCAAATAAAAGCAAGAGGAAAACCGAGAAGAGCGCCGAAGCAGGGGAGGTCGAATCGAAACACAAATGCGGGCGGTGTGGTTATGACAAAGCCCACAAGAAATGTCCTGCAATGGGGCAAGCGTGTAGACACTGCAAAAAGATGAATCATTTCTCAAAACTCTGTTTATCCCAGGAGGTCCATCTAGTGGTAGCCGACTCCGACCAGGAAACAGAAGGGGATTCCGACCACACATATCAAAGACGAAAACTAACACACTTATACTGAACTTTTCTCGAGTTTACTTCTGTATCGAAACGACTTCAGTTTGTATCGAATCGACTTTATGTGTGCAACTTCGACTTGTATCAAGACGACTTGTATCGAAACGACCAGACACCCGACCAAGAAGAAAGCGAAGATGACTCACTGTCTGTTTACTCAGTTAAGTCAAGCTGTTTTCCAGAAGACTAGCAGTTTTATGAAGTTATTGTGGTGGAAGATACTGAAGTTCACTTCCAGCTGGATAGTGGTGCAAAGGCTAATGTTATGTCACTGAAGACCTGCGACAATCTCAAGCGAAGACCACGGCTGACAAAGATGAACACTGTGTTGATTTCCTTCTCTAAGCACAGACTAACACCTTGTGGAGAAGTGGTGTTGAGCGCAAAATACAAAAATAATGTCGAAGAGGTCAAGTTCTTTGATGTAGGACCCGAAGGGGAATCAGTGCTTAGAGGAAACATCTGTGTCAAACTTGGCCTACTAGAGAGAGTTCACTAGCTGACCAGCGACACACCACTTGCAAGAACATTGGAGTTGGATGACTATCCAGAGTTGTTCAAAGGATTAGGATGCTTGCCTGGGACATATCGCATTGAACTGGCTGATAGTGCTACCCCTGTTGTACATTCCCCAAGGAAGATACCATTACTTCAGACAGAGAAAGTTGTTGAAGAACTGAAAAGGATGGAAAAGCTTGGAGTTATTGCGTGCCAAGAGGAAACGGACAGAGTGGGTGAACTCACTAGTGGTAGTTCAGAAGCCCGATGGTTCAGTGAGATTGTGCATTGATCCTGAAGATTTAAATGCTGCCATGAAGAGGTCTCACTACCCTATGAAAACTGTTGATGAAGTTGCTAACTGTCCTCAAGGTGCTAATACTCTCAGTATCCTAGATGCCAAAAGTGGCTTCTGGCAGTTAAAGTTAGATGAAGAGTCCTCGCTTCTATGCACCTTTAACACTCCAATTGGTTGTTACAGGTTCACAAGGCTGCCCTTTGGCGTAGAGTGTGCCCCGGAAATCTTCCAAAGAACCACGGACCAAATGGTTGAAGACCTGGATGGTGTTGAGGTCATAATGGATGACGTAATCGTCGCGGAAGATCAAACAACACATGATGAATGATTGCAGAAATTTCTGGAAAAAGTATCAAAAAAAGGGCTTATAACTAAAGAAAGAGAAATGTATAATCCGCCAGAGGGAGGTGCCTTACATATGACATCTACTCACCGCAGAGGGCCCTTAGATTGACCCCCTGGGCCCGGTTGTGTTCAAAAGAGGGTTAAACTAATCTGAGGTTAGGGCTAACCGAGGGTTAAATTTCTCAACTGCAGGTTTGTGAACACAGGGTTAAAATAGCGTTTCTCAAAGCGCGGTTAAAGAGCCGGTTAGTTAACCTCGTGTTAGACGCGGCTAACCTGAGGTTAGCAACCCATAATATTCTTTTCGTAAATTGTTGGTATGGTGAGCAAGTTGCGAGCTACAGAATGGCTTTCCCTGGGGTCTCACGCAAAGCCCGTAAAAAAAATTTCAGCGCGTCCGAAATAGCCATCTTAACGGAAAAAGTAGAGAAAAACCTTTCTATTATACAAAGTAAACTTACGAATAGCGTCACAAACCAAAAAAAAAAAAAAATTAAATATGGTGTAAAATTGCGGATGCTGTCAACGCCGTAGGAGTTGCTCGGAGGACTACCACCGAGGTCAGAGAAAAATGGAAAAATTTACACGCACAGGCCAAAAAAGAGTTCACAAAACTGGCCAAAGAGCAGAAAAAAACTGGAGGAGGTGAAGCTCCGAAGATGCCGTCGGTGGCAACTGCTAAAATCATTGAACTTTTCAAAGAAACCACATCATTCACCGGCCTCGAGTCGAAAGGTGAGAATTAACATCCACTGTTGTTTAAAACTTGAACTTCTTATTACCTTAGGAATGCATAAGTTTTTTGATTGTTTATAGGAAACAAGACAAATTTTCAGTTCACAATTTCCGCTACATGAACGACAGCTTCAGAAGTCACTCTCTTATTAGCTTTGATTATCATATTTGTTACATTATTTGTCACGCAACCTACGGCGAGCACAAAAATAACAAATATTCCTAAAAAACTGCAGAAGCTTTGAGTAAAAGCTTTTAAACTTACCATTTCTTCAAGACTCCCTCAAAGCTTCCCAGAAAGAGACCTGTCTTGAACTGAACAGCCAGTACTTTCAGTGAATTTAGATCAGTCATTTCGGTAATGATTTACTTTGAACCTTTGAACCGATGACAAGTACTTTTAAACAAGAGGTCACTTTTTTTTTTCACCGCAATATGTGGGGATGTTTTTTTAAAGGCCCTGAAGCAAACCAGCCCACGGAAGTGGCTGCTCAATTGGAAACAATTGAGGTAAATGAAGACCTGTTTAAAGAACTCCAAGAAGCTGTGCAGCAAGATGAAGCCAACACCCAAGAAATCGATGTTGAAGTGCTCAATACATCGAAAGAAGAAAATCATCATAAAAAAAAGAGTAGAAGAAAGACAACACAACACGACACTCTTGAGGCCCAATACAAAGCATTAGTTTTAAAGCAGGAAAATCTTAAGCTAAAAAAGAGGAAATTGGAGTTAGAAGTGTTCCTTTTGGAACAAAGATCATGTTCGATCCCTACTGTGTCTATAAATTTAAGTCCATGAATGTATAAAATGGACAATTTAAGCATGATTCAAGCTGTAAGTTATATTATGGACATGTGAAGAAAATTGTAATCACATAAAATTTGTATAAAATAGAGAATGCCCATGTTTTATATAATCAAAGATATAATGTGTTATGGGCAAGTAAAGAAATTTATTTACCTTTTTAACTCGTGAATTGCGCGCATGCGCAAGAGCGAGTTATAGATACGATGTGGGGAATGCCATCCGCTCGCTCGATTGGTCGATTCCTGTAAACTTTTTTTAGATTTTAGGCTTTTGAGTGCATTTGATAGTTTTTGGTTTTTCGTTTTAGTTTCAACAAGCGGCGCCAGCGACTGGCAGGCATGCAAGGATTCACACTGAAATAACAGAACAACCTTCGTTTTTCATAAAATTGTAATTTACGTTCCTTGAACTTGAAAACAATCCGAAGATTCCTTGAAAATATCACTCACTGCGAAGCGCTCGGAGTTTACAGATGTTCAAAAGCTTTTTCTGTTATGGCGTGAGATGAGGACAAAATTGATCATTACGTTTCGTCGCGTGTGTTTTTCCTGTGTGAAACAACAGAAGATGCCGGCGACTGACGAAATAACAAGCTAACACGAAAATCAAATAACACCTAAACAAACAATTTTAGCTACCGATTTTCAGTGAATTTTTAAAGAACAATTTTCTTTTAAGTTTCAAGACAATTTGAAGATTCAACATACATACAACGTACTAAAATGCGAAAGTTACACACCACAAAATTTATAAATAGGCCTGAAATGAAATTCTATCTTGTTATTGATTATACGTTGCCTAGCACGTGACTTAATTCTACCCAGGCGGAGATCCAAAATGACGGTGGCAGGCTTGGCTTAGTTATATCACTCAAAACTCGTTCCCGTTTGTCTCATTTGATAAAGAGGGAATCGTTAATGTTTTCATTAAGACAGTACTGCCTTGATTTTCTAATATTTACAACGAAAGACAGTAAATTTCCCTTTTCACCCACATTTACTTCCAACCTTTTCTTTTGAACCAGAAACAAAAATGATAGACGTTTAAAACACATGACATCATCCACCTTGTCAAATGTAATAGCATGATCATTTCAATTGTAATGCCTTCTTATCCCAACGTTACTTTGTTTCTTTGCTACATTAGCGAACACTGAACTACTGCTCGTACTCTAGATATGACAATCAACCACAAAATTCCCTAAACCAGATAACATTAAACATAGTCTAAAATTCACGTCAATTCACGAAAAAAATTCATGTCAATTCACGAGTTTGCTCACAGAGCACTTTGATTATTATTTATGTCTGATTGTAGAACATTTTATCAAGACAAGCACCCAGATTGAAATACAAAATAAAAGTATATTTATTCAACAACTTGTGATAATAGTTTTCTTAAATAATCATTTACTCTAATTTAAGTACAACCCATGTATCTTCCTCACAACTTTTGCCACAATGACAATATTAGGGCATCAGTGTCATAAAAATTTACAGGCAATAAGCAAAATTTATAGAATGAAAGAGACTGCAACCTTTTTTTTTTTCTTACTGTTGCAGTATTACCTCTGAACAATAGAGAAAGTCATATATATAAACCAATAGCAGTGATCAT